GCTAAATACAGTGCCTTGCAAACGTATTCACCCCCCCTTGGACTTTTTCACATTTTATTGTGTCACAGCATGGAACCATGATGTATTTAAGTGAGAATTTAGTTCTCAGAGTCAATACTTGGTAGGACCACCGTTGAGAGCAATTACAGCCGTGAGTCTCTTTGGGTAAGTCTCTATCAGCGTTGCACATCTTGACACTGGAATTTTTGCCCAGTCTTCTTGGCAAAATTGCTCAAGCTCCATCAAGTTGGATGGGGACCAATTGTGAACAGCAAGTTTTAAGTCATTCCACAGATGCTCAATAGAATTGAGGTCTGGGCTCGAACTGAACTACTCCAGGACGTTAACCTTTTTGGTACAAGCCACTCCAGTCTTTTGCTGTGTGTTTCGGGTCATTGTCCTGTTGTAACATGGATCGTCTTCCAAGTCCCAGGGCTCTTGTGGATTACAGCATGTTTTCCTCCAGGATTTTTCTGTACTTACTGTGGCTTCCTCCGTTTTTCCTTCTATGAGTTTTCCGGCCCCTGCCGCAGAGAAGCATCCCCAAAGCATGACGCTGCCGCCACCATGCTTCACTGTAGGGGTAGGGTGCTCAGTGTGATCTGCCGCGCTTGGTTTGCACCAAACAAAGTTCAATTTTGGTCTCATCGGACCATAGAATCTTCCTCCAAATTGTTTAGGCACTTACACGCCTTTGGGCAAACTCCAGCTGAGATGTGATGAGGCTTTCTTCCCGTCACTCTTCCGTACAAGCCAGATTTATGAAGTGTGTGTGCTATTGTTGTCTCACGCACAGTTTCTCCCATCTCTGTCATGGAGGACTGTAAGGCCTTAAGAGTTGCTATAGGCCTCTTGGTGGCCTCCCTTACTATGGCTCCTCTTGCCTGGCCACTTAGTTTTGAAGGACAGCCAGTTCTGCGCAGATTCACAGTTCTTCCATATTTTCTCACCTTTTTAATGATGGACTTCACTGTGTTTCGAGGTATACTCAATGCCTTGGAAATGTTCTTATATCCTTGCACTGACTGGTATTTTTCAAGAACCCCATCTCAGACCTGTATGTTATGTTCCTTGGTCTATATGGTGTCATGTTTCTTGAGAGCACAACCTAAGTGGGGAAGCGCCCAGACACAGGTGTATTTATTCTGAAATCATGTGAAACACCTCAACTGCACACAGGTGGACTCCAGTCAAGCAATTATGTGACTTGGAGAAGAGAATTGGTTACTTCAGAGGTAATTTAGGTGTGTCAAAGCAAGGGGGAGAATACTTATTCAATTATTTTCAGTTTTTTTTATTTTTTATTAATTTTAGGATTTGTTTTTCACTTTTCACTGTAGACACAGGCCCACATCAAACTTTAACCTATCATCCATCACTCATCAGCCTTCTTGGATGGAAAGGTGTGATCATGCACTGGGCTTGAAACTCCTTCTTAGCAAGTGAATTAAGTGGAGTGCATTCCTGGAAAACTGGAGCTTGGCGATCTAAACATGCAATTACAATCTGTGTCTGGCAAAGACTGAATGCTTCAGACCCAGACAGAACACGACTTCACATCTCCTTGATCCCTCTTAATTACTAATGCAATAATGCTGTGTGCTTCTAAAAGAAACTGACAAACAAAGGGACCTTCATTCACTGAGCAGTCAAGATTATGCAAAAGATGAATAAAAAAACCTTTTACTGAAAGATAGATATGGTTGACTGCTCACCTGTGACAGCCTCTATAGTAATGTCAGGTCTACAGTTTGTTACAATTAAGATCTGACAAACTACTGCAGGACTACTCTCAGCACCTGAAGTGATGTGAAGAAATTCCCCACCATCCATCTTCAAACTAAAGACTGTTTCCTGCCTCATCCCTGCCTACAGACATAAATTTGGGATGTACCTGTACAAAAAGCTTCTCTATCTCAGAACAAGGAGACGCACTCTTCCACGTAATTGTTTTGAACAGCGTGACCTGAAATTTACATTATGCAAAAAGAACATTTTATGAAAGCTGTATATCCAATACCCATTCATGGTAATAACAGAGCGTGACAGGAGCTGTTCTCAGGCTATAAAACTTTCTGCAAAACTGCTTGGATTCAAAGCACCACAGTAGGTACACCTTGTGTGTGGCTTCTCTGGTGTACTGCAGAAAACAGCCTTCTCATAACAAATTAACACTCATTTCAAACCCTCACTGAGCTGCACTGTGGCTCTCTGCATCTCTACACTTTTGTGCAGTGCTCTGCGTTCTCAGGGTGTTTTGTAATGTGTTAACAAGTGGGCCTTTTTTGGTGGATACGATTCCCAGTAAAAAAAACACTAAAGCTCTGTTACTTAATAAGTGAGATGAGCAGTACCTCAGAGAATCACAGTTGCTGATGAGGACAGCCTCATAAATCCCTCAAGTAGAGCTCACAGGTGATACCAAGCACTAATCCCCGAGCCCAATTAACTTCCATTTCAGTCATGCAGGCCCCTGTTTGGTATGTGTATGAAAGCATATGCGTTTTTGCTATCTGTCAATCAAACAAGGCGATCCTGATAAGCCTTTTCAACATCTTCTTGTCTTTGCTGACAGGAATCTGACCTATCTGATGAGCACAGTACCAAATTTGATATTTACCGCAGAATAATTATGCAAATAACGATGCAGCACATTCTACCCTTGGAAATAAATACATTTTGCTAAATGGAAGTTACAGTATTGACTGAAGTTCGGGAGGGATGACAACGACTAGTCAATCTCATATAGCTGCACCTATTCACCATCTCCACCCAACTAGCTATTGTACATAACCTGAACTCAAACGCTTCCCTTCACATTTGACTCAAGCGACCCTCCTTTGTCCCATCTCCCCTTTGCAGCTGGCCCTGCAGTCTGTGTAGGGTTCAAGCCTCCCCGTCTTATGGCCAAGATAAGATAAGATTAGCCATATGTATACAATATACATACCCCAACTTGCTCTCCATAAAACACACAGACGGGGAGAGAGAAGCTTGGGGTCAGAGCACAGCGTCAGCCATTTATACGGCACCCCTGGAGCAGCTGGGGTTAAAGGCCTTGCTCAGGGGCCCAAGAGTAGGATTCCTCTGCCGGCCGCTGGATTTGAACCGGCAACCTTCCAGCCACAGAGCTGGCAGGCACTCAGCAAGAAAGCTTCCACCTCCCCCGTTAGTCCTTGGTCTCAAGAACCCCCTAATCCAGAGGTTTACATTCCCGATGCTGGGAAACCTCTGTGACATCAGGGTTTTTTTTCTTCACAGGCTTATTTATTTCAGATTTTTTTTAATATTTGCGTTCAGCTGAATGAGATTTGTAATTGGTTCGAACCCTCTGCTAATTACTGTGTTTCAAGACTGACCCTCATTCAAATGTGTGAACTGAGATACAGTATAACCGACTGGGCAGAAGCAGAAGCAAAAAAACAGTGTCCGACTGTGGCCGTGCCTGATACAGGGTCAGCATTCCCACCTGTGTCTGTTCGCCAGCATATTAACCACCTATTAAGAGCTGTTTGACCAGACATAAGGAAGCCAATTCTTAATTAGCAAATTAAGAAAAAGACTGGCAGCAATTAGCACTGGTGATTAAGGGCCCAGATGTAACAAAACTAACAGAGACAGGGGAACTCCAAGACTGACAACCACCACCATCTTAGAGAGCTAAATTGTGTCATTATGTACAATAGTGTATTCTCACTTTCTATCCTTATTTAATGTGCTTTAAAGACTTTATAAAGTTACTTAATGGGTTCCTACCTATTTAATGTCCTAACTTTAGTAACTAACCAGACACCTATGCATGCTCACTTAAAAATACAATATCATACAAATGATGCCCAATTAAAAGCTGCTGTGACGAGCCTCTAGACGTCGGCGACAAGAATTGCTTCTCAATTTTGCAGGAGCAATATTAAATGTCTGCTGGTCCAATTAAACTGTCTTTCAGAAAGCACGGAACGCAAAGCTATTAAAACCCCAGTGCCTGTTAAACCTGACATGATCTATTTTTACAACACCATCACAGAGGTGCATTAAACTGTCACAATGAGCTGTATATCCTCCCGGAGGTCAGACAAAACATGCCTTTGGGTAATCATAACGTTGCCATAACGCGCTGGTATCGGCTTGTGCCAGCGTCACGTAGTAAAAAGAAATCGCAAATAAAACTCCCCAACTACCAATACAGGGAGGTGGGGGTTAATATTTAAAACCATTTCAAAAGAGCCTTGAAGGGTTGCTCATTCCATGCCTTACCGAGTACTCAACAGTAACGGCTAAAAATGTGATTATCCACGGGAGAAACTGTACACGTCATCATGCACTGAATAAGAATTATAACCCCATTTAAAAAAGTGTGAAACGTAAATATGACTTGCAGGTCAAAGTAGAAATAAATTCCTAGTTTTACCGTCATTAGCGAAGTGGAGTTGCAGTGACCGCGTTCTAGTTAGCAATCTTCGTTTGAAGAATCAAATTCCCTGGCAATTACCAATACCTTACAATTTTTTTAGCGGACTATTTTTTTTTTAATGCCAGACTGAATTTAAAGTTGCCATACTTCAGTTTCCGATTCAGTAATCGCGTAAACGCGTTTGAATTTGCGACTGCAGCTGAACTGAACGGTTTAAAGACTTCATTAATTAGAAATAACGTTTATCTTACAACTTTTAAATTACAGTATACTGTACGTTGTGCATCACTTATATTTTTAGGGAAAGGATGCTACATGTACAGGTATGTATAATTCCCAACCTTTCATCACCAACGCAACTTTACTTGACTGCGTCCTCTGTCTTCATCTTAGATACGGTGTATTTAAAGACGGAGTAATTAGATACATGTTTAACCTAAGAACAGCCCATACAGGTGCACAACCTGGCTGCTGAATCAGCCTGGCGTCGGAGCTGGAGAACAAACACATTAGAGGCCTCGGCGACGCGCTGAAATCCTTTTTAATTTAATGAGTCGTTCAGCGGTGGAGAGTAATTCATCAGCCTTACCCTGTCAGAGAACACTAATCGGTCCATTTCGCCTGTTCTCTCCCTGGAAGCGGCGATGACTCAGACGCTGCTCTCCGTCACGAAGTGCTTGCTCCGAGAGAAGCTCCGCTACCTGGTGCCACCCAGCCGGCGCTCAGTCCGGGATGCCAGTGCGGTAGACAGCCCGAGTCTTCACTGTTTCACGGGCTGGCCTGTGCGGTTGATTTGTGTTTTATGAGCAAGCCAAGTTCTTTTAAAAGGGAGTGGACCTTTACTTTGGAGGAAACATTCCTGCTCTTTTATGACTGAAAGTGTTTCTTAGTAACCGAATCATCTGATAATGGATTTTTTTTTTCCTACAACAGAAACTTTTTTTTTCCTTTGCGGACTATAAAGCTACAATCTTTTCGCTTGTATAAATCTTCCCTCTTTAAGTAGCTAACTACTGATCCGTCTCTGGTTCTAATTTCACTTTTATATTATTCATTTTTTTCTATATTTTATGGCTGTTTCTTTGAACAGTCAGGTTACCATCCCAGCAACAGTACACTACTCTCGTATATAGTACAGCACGAATTGAGTACTGTAATGATAATGACGGTCATGTTCGTAGAGGTGACAGTTTTATTTTACTCCACTTTTGTTTTTCATCATCAGAAATATTAAAAAGAAAGCTTTTATATTCAGTTACAGTAAGTGTCCCTCGGTTTCATTTTAATTAAAACATGATATTTTTTATTACTTTGCAGTTCACCATCACTATTTCTAATGCACAACTCAAAACTAATTTAAAGTGTGTGTCTGTAAAAACGTTCTAAAAGCTTATTAAGAGTGGGACGATGTTTTAATTTAAAAATGAATATATATATAAAGCAACTGTTTTTTTCCTTGCGTTACCGACTCGAAAGTAATATCAATTCCAACTACGAAATAACCATGACTACAGGGAGTGAAATACAGAAAGACAAATCAAAGAAAATTTTCTCCAAGCAGGTCTTTGCTAGAATGAGGGTTTTTACTCTGGCTTTTGATCTTTTAAATATACATTTTAAATCTATTATACAGTATATATTAAAAAGTTTTGTTAAACAATTTGGATTGTATTAAATACTGCTTAAATAGATTTGAAAAGACATCCAAGGTGTGATCTTTAATTTATGAGCTACTGAATAAATAGGACATGTAACAAAAATAACTTTGTGCCATGGCATAAGCGCTTAATACAGTATATAGAATTTGCACTTTACAGCAGTCATATTTAAGAAATATGACTTTCATATTTAAGAAAAATATTAGAAATATTTCCCATTTAAGAAAACGGAATTAAAATTACTCTTTTGAATTCTTATGATTTCAAACTAGTTTTTAAAATCATTGCCTAAAAAAAGAATTCTTAAATGTGTCACAAAGCTTAGTGTAAGAAGCACAAGGTTATCCAAGCTTCCATTAAAATACAATTTTGACCCACTCATGAGTCACCAAAGAAATAGAATTTTTGGTGTACAGTACTGAGTAGTGGAGTTTTGAATTAATCTGGGCCTGTGTTACAGTAGACCTATGGCCTTTCCTTTCCTGACATGCACTACCTTATTTCATGATGATATCAATGCAGATTTTGTATTGCAAAGTAATAAACCTATCACATTGCACCACGGTTGTCCATGCAGTCATTTGTAATATACATAGTATAAACTGTTTGTATTAAATCTATATTTAAGCTCATTACTAACGTGACCTTAGGAATGTTGCTAATCATCATAAACCATACAACAACAAAAAGATTTCATTAGTGATAATGTGCACCACAGCTTCATTTAAACGCATCGTGTCCAGTGTTCTGTAAAACCATCAAAGAGAGAAAAATCTTAACAAATCACAATAACCTCAAATTACACCATTTAGATATCTAATAGCCCTTAAGTTGAAATTTCGTTCTATCAAAGTCTTTTACTCTTTTTTATAACTGCCAACACAATTTTTAAGTAAAATGGGTGATGAATTTCCTGTCAGACTGCCTCCCACTGTTTTACATAATTAAGTAAACTTGACAGTTGCCCTCTCTACTGGACTTCCATTAAAGCTGAGCTGTACTCCCTTCATTGTCCCTGAAATACTTAATGGGCCATTTAAACAATTAACTTCAATCCACCTGCCAATAACAAATTAATGACATGTCACTTGAAGACAGCTTCCTATTGCAAGTGGGATCTTGTATTTGCCAAATGGAAAGCTGCCATTATACTGTATATTGGGTCTGGGATGCTTGATTGACACGTCAGTCAAAGCTGCAGCTTACCTGAGCCTTGCTATGGAAAGGAAAGGCAGTGCCAGGTTTGCCTACACCTGTGAAACATCTCAGCTGGTCAGCAGCCCATCTAAGGGACGCATGAGCTTTTGATTTGTTATTCCACCTGAGCACTTAGTTAGTGTACATGGCTGAAGCAATAATTTGGCTCAATGGAACCAAGTTCTTCTCAAGCACATGACTAATTTAGGGTTACCTACATTCAGTGCTTAAGAGCAATGTTCCAGGAGGTTGTTTAGGTCTTCTTAGATCATCATCAGCAACTTCAGAAAGCAGGCTAAGTTATTTCAATAAAAGGCTTAATTTTACCAATTTAGCCTTCCTTCGCTGCCCTGAAGCTGGTGTAGATTTAAGACTTACATCCCTTCCTAGACTGTTGTCCTGGAGAACTGAACTTGGACCTGTAGAGTCTGGATAAAAGATTAAAGACACTAGTGGTGTGCAAATACTTCAGTTCAGCTTATATAGATTTGTTATTGTTTGAATTGAAGGTCTTGCCTTCCAGGTTTCTCTTAGCTGAGGATTTTAAATTGGGTATCCTGAGAGAGCAGTCTCAAACTCCATTATCAACACAACATCTGTCTGTCTTTCTGTGCAATTGCTATTGATAAGTCTAAAGATTTTTAATGTTGATGCTGTAATTGATAGATATGTTTGAATGGGATTTGTGTTCTTCTTTTTTCAATTTTTCCCAGTTTTGAAAATGTGATCCAATATTGTGGATTGTGAAACAATATATTACGTAATTCCTCAAATTAACTGAACGTTAAAGGTTATTTTAAACCCCAATACCCATTGATCCATCTGTTTTATATTGAATCACTCCCTCCTTGCCTCCCAGTTCCAGACCTAGGGGTCTGGAATCCAGCATGTTTGCTGTTTCTCTTTGAATCATCAACAGTGTAAGGCTGTGGAGAAGGAATAAATAGAGCCAGTTAAACTGATGGGATCATCTGACACTTCACCCACATGAAATTGAGTGAGCTGTTTAAAACATAAAAGCAACAAATCCCTGCTAGATTCCAGTCAGCGAGTATCAGAACTGGAAACCTCTGATCTCACTGACACCTTCATACAAGGTAGCCTTATTTTGGAGCAATTAGTGGAGTGTAAAACTTTCCATTGTGCAAGGACTACACAGAGTGGTAACACAAAGATTGACATTTAAGTTAATACAATATGTTATGTTCTATAAAGCAGCATAAGACAGCAGTTACAGCAAATACAGAGATGGAATGCACAATAAGAGAATTAAAAATGAATTAAAGTCTTGAACAGAGAAAGTCTGCAAGGAGACCCATAACAAGTTTTCAAAATCCTCAAGGGCACTGACACAGTCAAGCTAGCGCATTTCTTCTGAATGAACAGTAAAAAACTAACCAGAGGTCACAAGTGGAATGTACTGTATGTGGAAATGAGTTTAAAACCCAGAACAGAAGGCACTTCTTCAGCCAAAGGGAAGGTCTGTGGGAGTGTGTGGAACACACAAGCTACCCAGCAATGATCCTGAAGCCCCTACCTCGGCTTCTTTCAAGAAACGGTTGGATGACAAAAAAAATCACATACCTAGCATTTCAGTGGCACCGTATTTGAGATATTAATTCACAGTATGTACTGCAAACAGGGACTGTAGAATCTACAGGTGCAGCCCGAACAGGTGCCTTTAAAGAGATGCCAAGTATATGGAACAACCTGCCAAGATGTTTTGGATGTGAGTAGCTAAAGATACATTTGACAAGAAAATGGATAGGTCCCCTCTCACCCTTAAACTAATTCTTTCATATGTTTGTGCGCAATGATATCATAAAAGGATTTGCTAGTTATTGTTAATGTCAGTTTAAAATGATGGTGACAAAATAATGAAAGTTTGCTGTTATTCATGTGCTTTTATACATTTTTTGATCAATTCCAGAAACATTCAAATGCCACCGCCTTTGAAAGCATACGTCAGCCTTCCATTGTCAAGGAGACCAGGCGTTGATGATAGAGCAGGTGTGGTACTGTAGCTACCTGCGGTGAATTGTTTGAAAAGTTGTTACAGAAAACACTGCCAAAGACAATATCACATAGCAGCAAACAGTGCCTTTTTTGAAACAAGAAAAAGGCCTGGGTTAATGAATGACTCGACTCAAAGAGCTGCGTCTCAAACATTAAACAAGATACTAATATGATGCAAAGTTTGTTTCTTGTATAAATAACTCTGGGTGGAGATCAAAGACTGTATCTTAGAGTCAGGCTTTGATTGAGAAAGACTGGCATTACCAGTCTGGCTGGGCTTTCCTGCATAGAATACATACTGTAGATACAAACATACTGTTAAGAGCATGGAATAATAAACACCTTTGTCTATCAAGGTTGATACAGCATATCCTTAATGATGGGGGGTGGGGGCATGGTTATTGAAGGGTGCAGAATAAAAAAATAACAGGATAATCAAGGCTAATTTTCTAGTTAAAGATAATTGTTCATGAACTTGTGCACTATATCTGTCTCATTAAACATGCCCAACAACATGAACACTGATGAAGCTGTGGCAGAAAGGAAGGAGATGTTGTACCACCTCCTGAGCTCCACAAAGTTTTTATTGCTTTGTAGTGTCTAATATACAGACATGCAGGGCATAAACGGAAGATGTGTCACCTGGTGTATTTTCATTTTATTATTTTTCAAACATTCTCTTTCATGAGCTTTTCGTGCTCCTTGGTCAATGCCTTTAGATGATATTTCACTGTGTCTATTGATATGCAATGAACTAGACATAACAACAGAGTCTTTAGACTCTTTTACATGATTATTAAACTGGGTGATGGACACTAATGAGTATAATATTAATGAATATAACAACATGCTGATTGTTGTGGTAAACCAGGCCAACTGATGGTGAGCTTCAAGTATGATGTCCAGTCAGTACAGAACTCCATGCGGAGACTAATGGCACCCTGACTGCATGGCGCTATACCGATCACACTTACTCTGCGTGATTCGGCAATCTCTTCAAGAGGATAGGCTGCATCCTACAAGAGGTAGGATGAGCTGCAA